ACTGAATGCCTTTACTCAGCATGGAGCTGTTTGTTGAAAAAACGAAAAAAAAGGTAAGCGGAGCAGCGTTTTATTTAGTTATAATTTAAAGTTTGCATTAGGTTGTGTGTGTGTGTGTGCCGTCATTCATGTGCAGTTTAACTTGTGACAAATGTAGATTATGATATTTTTGAGGTTTAGACGATGCCATGTTCAAGGCAGAATGGTAAAGTTATTTTTATGTTAAATATTTTGAAATGTTCGTTTAATACTAAATTTTTAACCTTAAGTTTAATAATGTAAAACAGATAGATATGTCTGACTTGAAAATTATACGTTTCTGAATCAATTTCAGTTGTACATGATAGTTGGGCTGTGGAAAACTACAGACTGGTCAACACTCAGTCGTCTCCTCCCTGTAATGCACTTATTTTCTATTTATTTAATTTTTAGGAAGTGATGCAGAACAATACAACAATACAAGACGAGTGAGAGACATGACGATACGATGCACGGGATAAACAAAGACAAGCAGGAAATCCCTTAATAACATTCTGCAACTTTGTATGTTGAGGGGTGTTGGAGGGTGTGCTTGTATCTTTAATTGTTGGGTGCAGCAAGAAGAGGAAAGCTTTGAAGGTAGCTAGGAGGAAAACGTGGACGAAGTGGAATTCAGTAGAAACTGAGCTTGATGAATACAAAATGGAAAGATAAAATAATGCACTTATTAACACACATTGTCGTTGAGAATCAGTTTTAAGACATTATTTTCCCCCTTCTAAGGATGGCGATCCACTGCCTGCTGGTTTATCTCTGGGGAAGTAGGAGTATTCAGACATTAAAGTTTAGAAACACTACTTGTGTAACTTTTGTTTTAAAACATGATGACTTAGAAAAACAACAACTAACATGTATATTCTGACTCCTTTAAGCCAAGAGTCTAGAGTGAAGGATACTGATGGAGATTGTTGTTACCAGAGGAGCCATAATGTGTGATCCAGCCAGCGCAAAGATAGTGAAGGAACGGAGCCTTGAAGACCTGGATGTACCGCGAGCTGTGCCGTGCTGATGGGTCTAACCCCCCATGGTGAACTCTTTGGACTCTGGCCCCGCACCACAGGAGTGCACTTCACCCTCTGAGGTGAATTGCTCCATCCCCCCCCCTGACTCCAGGCCCAGACGGCATCAGCCCAAGGGTTCTGAAGACCTGTGCCAGCCAGCTGTCTGAGATTCTGCAACACCTCTTCAACCTGAGTCTGAGCCAGGAGAGGATACCGGTGCTGTGGAAAACGTCCTGCTTGGTCCTGGTCCCAAAGAAGACGACACCATCTGATCTCAACGACTATCGACCAGTGGCTCTCACATCTCGTGTGATGAAAGTGTTGAAGAGGCTCGTCTTGACCCACCTCAGGCCGCAGGTGAAACCATCCCTTGACCCTCTACAATTTGCCTCCAAGCCACACCTGGGAGTGGACGATGTCATCATCTACCTGCTGCAGCGTGCTCAGGTAGCGTACACCTCTGACTTTAAGTACAACTCCAGGTCATGCCACTAGGGCTCCAAGGACCATTCCTCATGCAGAGACTCTGAAGGTGGCATTTGAATCCGACGCAAATACACCACGCTTTTCTTTGGAGCATGGGTCGGGGGTCAAAGGTCACCATCAATCAAATTTTATGAGCTATATCAACCTTTTTGACAGAAGGTAGTGTATTACTCTCTCACATCAATATTTAACGGCACATCGTTCAGTTTAGCACTGATCAATAAACTCACCAAATTTGTTAAAATCCAAGACTGTTCTGTCCGTCGCAGCCAACACAAATGTTTCATGTCGATCGATTGAAAATGTCTGTAAAGGAGTAGAGATGTAGTTATGGCTTGACATATAGGCTTAGCCTGACTGATTCATCCAGATACATTCATTTTTTTACATTAGATATTTAGTGAAGAAATTGACTGTTTGAGGAGACCCCGCACAGCAGAGCAATCGCACTGCCCATTGCCTGAATTTTACTTTACGTAACAAACATGTTTAAAAAGGCTTTGACAAAAACTTCCCTCTCTCAGGAGGAAACAGGAACTGTATGTTACCATGGTTACTCAGCGGTATCTTGCGGAACGGCTTTTTTTTTGTAGCTAATGCCTTCAGTAAAAATATTCATGTAGCCTAGATTATTCTTCTTCTTCTTTAGTTATATTAGTGTAAACTTATAACAAAACTATTAGATCGAGCCTACATTGTTTATTGTAATTTATAATTTCAGTTAATTTATTGTAATTTCATACAACAGGGTGTCCTAAATTAATGCAAAGACAAGGAGACTATTGTTGAACATCAGAGCAGAAAAAAGTGTATTTTTTAGTGTTGACTTGAGATGAAAAGTAGAAAAATAAGAAATAAATATTAACAGCAAAAAAGTTGTCTGCAAAATGAGTTAATATTATTTTGTTTTCGCAACAGTCCCTGTAAATATAAAACACTTTACAATAAATAAACATATTTGATCCTCAATAAAATACACATTTGAAGTTGTTAACGTCTGTATGACGATATTAAATGTCTTTAAATTAATGTCAATTAAATAAAAATCAACACTACAACACAATACTACTCTAGAAACACAGTATTGTGGTTTAATGCACAGTAACAGGATAAGAACTACGAGTGAGAAACCGTCTTTAAATATTTTTTGTCTGTGGGTTTGTTGAGCCCTCTGGTGTGGAAGGTTTATTATGCTGGTAGTTTGATTCTAACTACACCTGTTAGTGGAGTACACCTGATTCTAACTACACCTGTTAGTGGAGTACACCTGATTCTAACTACACCTGTTAGTGGAGTACACCTGATTCTAACTACACCTGTTAGTGGAGTACACCTGATTCTAACTACACCTGTTAGTGGAGTACACCTGATTCTAACTACACCTGTAGAGGCTGTAGTGGCCGGTTTGAAAAAGACCCCTAGGACTAGTTTGTTTGCACTGGTTGCCATGGTACCCAGGTATCTGGATTTCGTTTGATTTGTACCAACTTCATCGACCAACACCAACAAAGTTAGCCATCATTACCTGATGCAAATCTTGTAGAAAGTCGTTGAAGTCCAAGCCGGTTACCTCCACACACTCCGACGTGACCTCGTTGCGGTAGTCGTACACACTAACCCGCCTGCCGACTCCGTCCTGCGCCCAGCTGGAGACCGACCCCGCTGAGAGCCGCGGGTCGCTCCTCCGATTTGACATCCTTAAAAACGTCAACGTCTTCTTGCTGAACTAAGCCGAGCTACTTCAAGGCGACATGTATCAAGCTGTTACACGACAAAACGCTGACGCTACTGATTTCCTTTCACATGTCCGTTCTTCTGTGAGTTCGTGGCTGCACAGAGAAGTAAACACTTCGCTCTACGGGACATCGTTGAGGACCAATCAGAATCCACTTCCGCAAACTACAGCGCACACACGAAGCGCTCTCTACTTCCGGTATCATTTTCAGTGAAATGAAACTTTTTCGACATGTGGCTATTGGGTAGGGTGTTGTATTTCATGACGTAACCGGCGCCGAGGTAGAGGAAACTTTTCGCGCGATATCATCCCGTTTAAATCATCCGGTTTGCATGATGTCGGTGCTGGTTAAAAACAAGCATGGCTGGTTTTTGGATGCGAGTTCACTCGTGGATCAGTGGTATTCACGCTGTGTTCGTTTTAAGGACACGCAGAAGTCCCGTGTCAAGTGCAGTTTTAAAAGACAGTGTTTCCAGATCTTAAAAAGCCATTACAGTGTGAAAGCAGAGGCTGCTGTTGATGGAGGTAAATCGGAAGTGTTGGAGGAAACAGACAAAACATCGAAGGTAAATTTACCCTCCTCCTCCTCCTCCTCCTCCTCCTCCTCCTCCAAGAGATGCTGCCAGAGGACCACTCCCTGTACAGAATTAAAGGGTGGTCCTTTGCATATATAGAGAGTCCCCTCACTGCTGTCTGTGTTATAGCACAGGGACAAAATCAGTTTTAAGTCAACATTCATTTTACATTTTCATTTGTTTTATTTCGTTCTGTTGAAGCAGTTGTAGAGGCTTCCTTTTGGATAGGATAAAACTTTATTGATCCTCTGAGGGGAAATCCGGGCGTTGCAGCAGCACAGACAAGAAAGCTCAAAATACTAATTATACAGAATAGATAAGATAAATACAAAATAAAAACAAAAACAGGGTATATACAAGTGCAAAATGAATGATGAAGTTAACTGTGCAGGGAGTTGAGACAGTATTTGCAGAGAATGACAAGATAAAGTGATTAAAGTGACTCGGTATGATAAATAGCAGCAAGTAATGTAAAAACAGCAGAGGAGAGAGGCAGTGTTGTACCACAGTAATGCAGAGTGCAGTTATATAATATAATATAGTGCAATATGAACAATATAGTGTAATATAATGAAATGTTTATTTATCTTGATTTATTTATGTTTATTTGTCTTTATTGTCACTTTGGCCTTTAAGAAGAAACATGTAGAAAACCTGACCTTTATATGTGGGAAAAAAAGTCAATAAGATGAGTAAAAAAATTCAAATTCAGTAATGTTCATCTTTACATTAAAGTCAATCAAGTGGAAAACAGTTCTTCTGATTTACACTGAGCAAATATTTTCATTCCATAAATAGACTGTTACTTTGCTAAACGTTGCTCAGTGCTCTTTATCATTTTTATGACTCATTTTGTATTAATCTACAGCAGGGATGGTCAAGGTCACACAAGGGACACATTCATTTTATTCACACTGCCAGAGGGCCAACTTGTAGTATACTTAAAACGATTACAGTCAATTATGTCTCAAATTTAACTTAACATATACCAGTGATCGAATATTATTATGGGCATATTTCTGGTTTTCATGATTTCATGGCTGATTTTGTCATGTTTTCTTCATGTTTCCAAATAATTGATATGTAAAAATTGACCTGAGGGCCATGTTGAGGGTTGATGGGGGGGCAGCATGTGGTCCCCGGTCCTCCAGTTGCCCACCCCTGATCTATAGTGTTAATAATTGTTCAATTCAACTTTCAAATTGAACTACCAAATCTACATATAGTGCACCTTTCATTTCTTTCTCGGGTTTTTTTTGTTGTGCTTACCAATAATCAGTCGATATCTGTTTGTCTTTCAGAAAAGGAAACGCAAACACAGTGAGCTCAACCACGGAGAGGTTGATTTACAGGCCTCTCATGATAAGGTTTGTTGCAACTCCTGCTGTAACTCTACGACATCGACGTATGCGCCGTTTTATTTGTTCAGTTAGAGAATGATAAATCAAAAGAAGTGTGAGTTATAGCATTGAGGGACAAAGTGCAAGTTTCTATATGACAGTTGAATAAGGTCTTTTGTGAGCCAGAGGGAACGTTGTGATATCACGAAAAAAGGCCTCAGGTGATGTCACCTAAATCGCCATCAGTTTGGGCTGGAAACTTAGACTTAGACTTTCTTTATTGTCATTCAAATTGTACCTTACAGTGCAGATCAGAACGACATCTCGTTGCAGTTGGCTCATCATAGTGTAGGATAAAAACAGCAGCAAGTATTTACATAAATAGTTATAAAAGAAAGTATGTATACAAATACTCTAAAGGATATCAAATATATTGCATATGTGTAATGTTATACTATATACAGTCCAGTGTGGGGTTTGGGGGGGGGGGAGAAGCTGTTACAGAACCTGGCTGTTCTGCTTCAGACCTCTTTCCAGAGTCCAGCAGCGAGAACCGTCCATGTTGGGGGTGGGAGGTGATCAGGGTCCGAGGCTTACTTTAGTCTTCAAAAGTATACAACAAACAAACCTGAGCAGAATCCGGATTCAGCTTCATTCTCTCTCAAAATCTCTGCTTCTAAAGGGCTTTAAACTTAATGGGAAAGTGCGCACTGCATGGATGTGTGAAGCTTCTCTTGATTTACTATATTTCAAGATCAGAAAGGCGCTCCACATGCACATCAATGTACTTTCATCAACATGTTCTGCATGGCTGCCTCTCTTGGGATCCTTCGTCCACCCTAGGTCATATTTACACACCCCTGGGGGTCCTGGGACAACACATGACTTCTTAAATCTTTCAGCCTATCTTATTCTTTTACTATCCTTAATCATGTCGATTTATTGCTTTTATCTCTTTTTATTGCGCTCAGTTCCTTTTTCTGCTTCAATTGCTTTTTTAAATCTTTTTATGCATCAGCAGTTTTTATTGCTTACTTCATTTTAGCTTATACGCCCTCCTATGGTTTCTGATTTGTCTTATCTTCGAGATAAGACAAATCAGAAACCATTTCTCTGGCTGGCGCGAGAGATTCCAGATAAAGTCAGAGTGAAAAATTAGGTCTTTTGTTTGCGTTCACACACGCAGCTCCTCCTGGAAATATCAGGAGCTTTTCAGGAGTTTTGTGCAAGTGTGAAAGCATTAAGTGGGATCATTGATGCAGTAATGTTTGAAGAAAGACTTGCAGATGGTACTTTGAAACACTTTACACTTCTTTGTCAGTGAGCAGTCAGTGGAAAAAGAACAGATTTACCTCTGATATGAAGGGGACTATAATAATGAAGTAGCATAAAAAAAATGATTCTTTTCAAAGTGTTATTTTGTGATCCTCATATTCAACACACCACACTGACTAAACAATCTGCTTTGTGTTCTCTTGCAGGTCAGGTCTGTGATCCTGGAGGGAACTAAGTCCTTGGTGGATTCTGCCCGATCCCTCGAACATCTAAACAGAGCGACCGGCCTGGTGAAGGAGCCTCTTCCTTCCCATGAGTGCAGGCTTGTTGCTCTTTGTGAAATGGCTAAAGAGCTCCCCCTAGTGGACGAGGATGAGCAGGAGGAGTGCGTTCAGTCACTCGTGGCCGAAGACGGCCGCTCGTCACATGTGGATTTGTTCTCCCGGGTTACAGAGAACAGGGATGACAGTGCGAGTGTAGTTACACTTCTGGGAGAGGAATATGTTATCCCATCACACACAGCCTTCCTGCTTTCTGATTTCACAAGAATACAACCTCTAGTTCACTGTGAGTACTGTGTGTGTACTGCCACATGGAACAAGTTAGCAAAAGAAAGCGTCAGAGCTGAAGTCACTAGATGGTTGTGGTGACTTATTTTGCATTAAAGCTGAATTAATTGTTGTAATACTCTGTTTATGCCGTGGCAGCTCACAGATGGTTATATACAGTCTCTGTGACAGCTCGCAGGTTGTTTTCCAGGCCTGACTTTGTTTGTCTGTCTCTCACACAGATGGGAGCAGGTTTGACCTGATAGTTATTGATCCACCGTGGGAAAACAAGTCTGTGAAGAGGAGTCGGCGGTAAATTGACACTTTAGCCTTTTTAGAAAACGTCTATAACTTTATCCCAGAAGAATGGATGCTTTTAACATGTAACTACAGGAACACAGATTAAAAAATATAACATAAAAATACATATGCGTGCAAAAAAAATGTAAAACCTGTCATAAGATAAGACAGTTCAGCTTCTTGCTTCTGTCACTGAGTTCTAAAATGCAGTAAATTAATCTGATTGGTTGAAAAAAATTAAAATTTTAGGTCTCGATTTTTCACAGAGGATATGGTGGTGGGCTTTATAGAACCATTTAAAGCACAGTAGTTCCATTTACATATCACAACTGTCTTCTTCTATTTAGATACAGTTCTCTGCCCTGCACCCAGCTGAAACGTCTCCCTATACCCCTGCTGGCATCACCCAACTGTTTAGTCGTCACCTGGGTCACAAACCGGCCCAGCCACCTGCGGTTTGTGCGCGATGAGCTGTATCCACACTGGGGGGTAGAAGTTGTTGCCGAATGGTTCTGGGTCAAGGTACAGAAAACTTTGATAAAGCTCTCAGCGTTTGTAATGCTCTACCTTATTGGTATGATTCCCAGATGTTTTAAAAGCCACGCTCTTTACCTTCAGGTCACCACATCTGGACAGTTTGTGTTTCCACTGGATTCACATCATAAGAAGCCGTATGAAGTGCTGGTGCTGGGACGATATTCTTCTTCTGCAGATAACTCTGCAAGGTATTCAAAGTTTTGAATCCTCTCTGTCTTTTTTATACTCTAATGCCTTAATCCTTGAAATGAATATTTCCACATTATATTTACTCATTTTCAAATTTATATTTAATCTTGTTGAACCACCTTTAGTCCATCAGAGACGTCAGTGGTTCCTGTGGAGGATCAGCGTTTGATTGTCAGCGTGCCTTCAGCGCTGCACTCCCAGAAGCCTTCACTTTCAGGTACATTAGGATAACATCTGCTGTTTGCATACTAGATCTTAGTACAGTAGCGTTTGTGTTTAACTGTGCCACCAGAGGGCAATGCTGCAACATCAGTGATTGTCATCTTACAACACAGCTTCAGTGATAATCTGTAAATCCCTCTATAGCATGCATTTACACTCACACAATCTGAGTCGTTTTGGGGGGGATTTAGAATTTAAAAGTGAGTACTTTTGATTTGATATAACTTTAGAAGACGGTTACTGAAAACAAAATGTGTGTTTTAACAAGAAAAGAACATAAATGTGAAAAATAACCCATCGTATAGGTACACATATCACTGTTTTTTGACTTTGTAACCTGCTTTACCACTACTGACAGTTTTCATTAGAGACCCTCATGTTGAATTAGAGAAAAACATCTCGAACACACATGCTAGATCTATGTTGTATTCCTAACAACCCGAGGGATTCAGTCCTCATTGGTCAGAGCGGGGGACTTCAGCTGCTCACATACGATCAGATATGTGATGATTCAACACTTGACTTCGACGTGAACTCCGCTGCTTAGGATCCGCGTTCAACCTTGACTATGAATATGCAGCAGCTCTGAGCAGGAGAAGCCTTGACGTCATGTTCGTCCGTCTCAGGGGAGCGCGGTTTTATTGTGCAGTATGGAAGCTGGAAAAAAAAAACACGGCCGGTTAGCAGAAGCCCTCTCAGAAGCACAGAGGAGCCTCCACCTCACGGACGTGGTTGTTGTTTACTGTTAAAGTGAATCAAATGGTGACAAAGCGATTAAGAAGATTAGGGAACAGATTGTGTTCCATCTCCTTGTTGGATTCAGAGCCCCTCTGCACATTTCCTGTGTGTTGTTTTGTATCCCAGATATTTTATTCGGGCTAAAGAACTCTTTTATTTTTCACATCTTATACTGCAATATTAGCATATCCAGTGACTATCGGTATCGGCTACTTTTATCACAGATATGCGCCGGTATTATTAGATTTATTCACTGGTTTGAGTATCTTTGTATTACACTAGCAGTTCTCTTTCACCAGCAGAGGGCACTATATGGATTCCAGGGAACCTATGACACATTAGAGCTCAGTGAGCTCCCAGGACAAGATGTGGTTAGTAACTAAGAATTAAAGATAGTGACTTGCATTGATGTGATGTGAATACACACAGAGAGTGAGAGAGAGATAAGAGTTCAATAAAAGCAGAAGATTTTTTAAATGTTTGTATTAAATGTAAGTTTAAAAACTATGGGCTTGATTTTTTTTTTCTTTTGTTCAATCCTGCAACATATTATCCAACTGCTACAAATATCTAGACCTCTGGCAATAATCTACCTGGGCTTTCTTATGCTCATCTGAAGCGATCATCGCCGTCGTTCTGCAGCCTTTTTGTGTGTGTTCGTGTAAAGCATGTCACGTCTGCTGGAGCCATTGGCAGCCTGAAATATGTGAATAAGCAATCCTCAAGCCTGCGGCGCTGAGAAACCCCCGACACACTTCTCTTCCCCCCTTTCGGATGGGGCTCCTATCGCTGACATTCTCGGTTGCTAAGGGACACCGTTATCCCCGTACAGTTATAACATAACCTTGCCAGATGGTCAAAGCTGAAGAGAAAAAGTGTTAGTGCTACTCTCAATGACAAGACGTGTGGTTTGTTTTATTAATTAGATCCCCACTACAACTTTGGAAATCATGAATAATGAAGTCGGTGCTATAATTAGAGGTTAAATAGCTGTTCCTAATGTTAAGCTCAGGGAGAGGCACACTGCCAGTTCTGCGGGTCGTTGATTGGGGAATGGACTTTTGGACAGTGATCCTTATACCAATTTGTTAAGCTGTCTTTCTTTCAACAGTGATTGAGAAAAATTCACCTTTAACCAGTTACAGCCAGTGCTCTAATTAGTGCTGTAATTAACTTTCAAATATCACATAAAATAATTGAGAAAAAAAATGGAACTATTATTTTGAGTATTAAAGTCATATATAAATGTGTGGGGTCAACACAAAAGATTATTTTGTTATTTATCAAATTAAAATTGGGCCAAAAACAAGGCCTTGAGGGACTCCACATGGATGTTGAGAGTAAGTCATTAATTATGTAGATAATAGTGCAGAAATAATCTGAAGACTGAATGTGATCCCAGTTGAAGGATCAGATAACCATCACTTTCCTTTGCCACCTGGCAGAAGTTTCATACCTTTACCCATTTAAGAGTTAAGAGGATAATTAGGCCTTGTATTCTGTGTTCAACTCCGGGAGCTGAGTCACTGGTCGGGGTTGAATTATTCGGAGAGCCGCATGTTTGGCCTTTCCACTCTCTGACTCTCTGACGTGCAAAGAAAGAGAAAACGGGAGGCAGAACACCACATGGTGGAGGTTGGATCAGTTTTGGTGGATCAGGCTTTCATGCTCATTAACTCCCTGAGTGTTGGCTGAGGCGAGTGTCAGGGAAGTTTGAGCATGCACAAGAGCAGACAGAGTAGCACAGGGGCAGAGGAAGTGAAACGTATCTGTCAGGTGTTCTGCTCCTGGAATATCATCACTTATAGACTCAAGGTCACTGCCAGTCTGCGCATAGAAACTCTGTGCTGTGGTGTGAAGGAGCTGGGTAGATGCCAGTGCTGTTCTCCCTTTATTACTGAGTAACAGTGAGAGTGCCCTCTGACTTTCACTAAATGAAAGTATTCAGGGGTTTAACACATTTTTCACACAGGATGGCACATAAATACACTGACTGTGGGAAGCACAAGTGATTGTTAATCAATTTTGCCTGCTTTGGTGCAAATGAAAACAACAACAGGTGCAGTGGAGAGGCAAAAGCAGTACCCTCCTCGTCCTTTCTGTCTGATTATTTTTTAGTTTTGTGTTCTGCTAGTGTCATTGTCACCGCTGCAGCATGAGGCTGAACCTGGAGTCCAATCAGGTTTCACAGGTAGTCCAGCTCCCCAGGGTGGCACATCCATACATGTGGTCACATAAAGGTTTGCTGGGTGTCTACCACCACAGACTCAAGAGCATGAAGAAGATACCAGCAGTAATACAAGGAAAACTGGACAGGGCCATAGAAGGGCTTCAACCCAGCAGCAAGACTGGTGTCTATTCCTTTGTAAGAAGGAGGATCAAGAAGAGCACAGCCAGAGACCTCCAGCAGTCTTCTAGTGTTTCTGTTTCCTACCAAACTTTCAGAAACAGACTCCATGAGGGTGGTTGAGAGGCAGACGTCCTGTAGTGGGACCTGTGCAGGTTCACTCTGAGCACATGTGACAGGCGTGAAAGAGTCTGACCCTGACTGCTCTTATAGGTGACGATTGTGACACCTTATGTCGATGCAGGCCCTGGGTTCTTCCTGATGTGGCACAATGCCCGGCCTCATTTGGCCAGAGTGTGTAAGCAGTTCCTTTTATGAGCAAAGCATTAATGCTATTGACATGCCCTCTCGTTACCATGACCTTAATCCAAGTGACCATCTCCCGGACGTTATGTATCCAAAATATTTTAAGCGAGAGGAGATCGACCTGTTTATCATTCCTTGCTTTTTCTTTCTTTCTCTAGAGGTGTTGAAGCCCTACATTGGATCTGAAGCCAAACGCTTGGAGCTGTTTGCCCGAAATCTTCAGCCTGGATGGACAAGCTGGGGGAACGAAGTGCTCAAATTTCAGCACACGAGCTATTTCACTTTGTCACCTACCGATGAGCCAGCGGGGTTTCATCAAGACGAGACCCCGGACAACTTCACAACTTCTTCCTGTCACTGACAAAGAATGTGAAGTAATGATGCACTGAGAAACCTTGTCAGTATTTTGGAGCATTTTTTAAAATAAAGATTCAGTACCAAAATATTTCTTTACCAGGTCTGTTTGATCTGTTCTTCTCATGTTTGCAGGACCTTTGATTTCTTTTTTTAGGTCTGGGTGCATGTTTCAGATACTGAATCACAGGTCTGTTGATGCACTACTTGGAGAGATGAAAGTGCATTTCTATGCAGCTATGTTTTTCAAATCTCCCGCAGTAGTCAGACAAACAACACTCAAGGTTTTTGTGAGTGATCTTTGGCACAATATGTCTTAAGGAGAATCAAAGTGTTTCTATTTTTACTCATTTTATTTGAACGGAGTGTCAAAATGATTCCTATTCCAAATAAAAGCAACATTTTCACGCTTGTACCTGTCCCTTATCAGACAGTTTCTTTTAAAGTTCTCACTTGAACAACTCGCTGCTGTACCGTTCACTCTGCCAAGGACACGCTGGGAATATTCTTTGTTTCCTCTGAGAGACGCAGCCTTCCCTTTGACACTCCTCTTAATGCCAGTAAAGCCATTAACTACCTTTTCCTGTTGGGTGGGGCCTCTCTAATGAGTCTGTGGTCTGCGGAGGAAGGAGAGATAGTGTGGGGATGAGCAGGGCTGTCTTTATGGCAGCAGAGAATGACTTGCGGCCGCTGCAACAGAGTACACATCACAGCTAATGAAGCCGGGGCGATACCTCAGCAGGATCATTTGCACATTACCTTGTCATGCTCTTTGTCTCTCTGACACACACAACACTTTTATACTTCCACTTTTTTTTCTCCCTCTGTATGTGCGTTGACTAAAGTAAGGATGGGAGTATACTTCTAAAAGGGAAATCACTTTGCACAAGTGGGTGCGATGTAATGGTTCATCAAGAGGCTTAAAACCTGCCTCAGCTCCAGCTCTCAACCTGTCATTAGGTTGACTGAAAGTTAGGCTGAGACAGCATTTCCAGCATGGAGACCGCCATCGATGGGACTCCAAAGCCCCCTGCAGGAACAGACGGGTGACGTCACTCAGGCTTCGTCCATTAATATTTATAGTCTATGGTTGACCATTACCGTTATCTAGCTCACAGTACTGTAGCAAACTTACATTAATGTTCGCTATGTATTGCTTACGTTGAATAATAAGATAGATGATTAGCATTTAAAGGGCATGCAACCCTAAACACAGCAGTGTGATATTAAAACAGGATTTGAGCTTCTGTATTCCCTATCTTCACTTAATGTCAACTTCGCGTCACGGTCCTTTAAACATATGGTCAATGTCACCATAGAAGGTCTAAAACTCTACCCAGATTTGGACAAGGACATGTTGCAAAATCTAACTTTTTGTTAAGGTCCTTGGTGTCCAACTAGAATTTTGCTGATGTGAACATTTGGTATAAAATGTGGCTTATTAGCCAAGTGGTTTTATTTGGTTTCAAATGGGCTAATGCATTGAGGGAAATATCTATTTGTTAAGTTTAAACTGACTTTTTGGTGCAAGGTTGATGGACAAATGCTTTAACAGTCAAATCTCAGGATGAAAAGTCTTTTGAGAGGTGGATGTGGAGTAATACTCAACAGTCACCAATCAAGAAATCAAGGATTTCTACATATTGACTCTGTTCCAGCAGAAACAAAAAATAAAACACCATTCATCCATCTTTCACTGCTCATCCTTGAACCTCTGAGGAACGGATCCTTATGCAACACGACCCATAGAATTAATGTGGGCCGATGACGCGGACCTGACTGCATGACGCACTTTCATTTCTTTTGCTTTCTCAAACATATTTATCATTCATCAAGCTCAAACCAAAATCACAAACCTTTGCAGCAATTAACATGCCAAGATTAGAGACTTAAGTGTTTTTGAATTTTGATCTATAGCTCTCAAGCCTAACTCTGACAGGTACCAAGTTTTCTAAAGACATCTTTACGGCCGCCGACCTGAACTCTAGCATTAGTGCCATAATTATCTGTCTTTTTTTCCCCTCTTCCTTTGTTCTCCTTTCTCATCACTGGCTCTTCTTCTGCTCGTCTCTGAATACGCAATCACTCTCTGAAAGCCCACAATGCACTGCACAGTGATGTCATCACAGTCATCATCTCCAGGGAGGCGCCAGGGACGGAAAGAGCGTCCTGTCAAGCTCAAGATGAAGCACCACAGTGAGAACATAGTCATCCCTTCTTTCCCAGAAACCCCCTTCTCTGTTAAAGTGAGGTTGTATGATTTTCTATTGAGCGTTACTGTAATCTTTGCAGCTGACACGGGGAGAATATTTCCAATTGAAAAGCAACTGAGCATTGATTACTGTTGGCTTTGAGTGTTCGGAGCATTCACCAGATTTCCATCAAAACCATCTTCATCTAATGTGCGGTTTGATTTCTCTCAACCTAATGGAAACCACTAAGAACATCATGAGGTCAATCAAACAAATTCTGGACAAAGATGCAGAATCTGTTGGCACTGGTTCTAGCACTTGAAGTGTTCTGGTTTTCTGGTTTGGTTTGAAGTCAGAGTAGTATCAACCACGTGTTTCTGTGGGCATTAGTCGTATGTGAGAAAACAGTCAGCATGGAGCGGGGAAGGGGTTCCATGTAGCCCGTCAGAGTGTAAGCAATGGCGGCCCCAGAAGGTATGGAAAGTGGTAAATGGACTTGAGCTTGTATAGTTCTTTTCTAGTCTTCTGACTACTCAAAACGCTTTAACACCGCAGGTCACACCTACACATTCACACACTGATGGAAGAGGATGCTATGTAAAGTGTCCATGAGTATTAACTAATCCATTTATATGCATTCATACACAGCCGCCGCCGAGCAGAAACACATTGGTCATGTAGCTGCAGGAGCGAGGAATCAAACCCCCGACTTTCTGGTTGAGAGACGACCAAATCTACCAACTGAGCCCCAGCCGCCATTGCTCCCAGAGGCTACAACATTGTGCTGTTCCAGACAGCTGTTCAGAAACCTGACGTCTATCACGGCTGGAACTCCCACAGGAGGCTGCTGCAGGGGGAAGAGAGAAATAATTGTTTCCTAGGAGGTGCTGCTTCTCCTCGTCTGTCCCTGGGTTCTGTCCCCACTGCAGTCTTTGCTATAAAGCGCTCTGAAACAAGTACAAAGAATGAGCAGCAGCAGCTCTAAGTTTCATCACTCAGCGGCATCAGAGAGAATGTGAAATCTGAAGTTCAGGGTGCAAAGTAGAAACAATTCCCACCGTATACATTTATTACCACCAACTGTGATGTACCAGGTTGCACCTCTAGTATGTTCTTACATTTCTAATGAGGACTTTTGAGGTGCAAAGAAACACCAACAGAAGATATTTTTAGTTTTGAGGTCTCTTGTCTTTTCTCCTCTACATGGACGGTAATACCAGCAATCATTTCAAGAAGTTAAGTCGTCTTGCTTTGCTCTTTGTTTCTCAGTTTACAGTGGACAAGTGTGAAACACTTTTAGAAAATGTGAGAAAAATGTACATTTTGAAAAAATAAATTACATTTTAAAAAACATTTAATGCATTTTTTGAAACAAAAATTTACAAAACCAAAACACTTTTACCAAGGACTAAACAAATGTACAAACAACAGAATCTAGACGGAAAGGGAATGTAACAAATGCCAGAAGTGACCCGGAAGCGCATACCTGGTCCTTCTGTCTCATCCGTTTCCTTTACAAGTTCGAGAGAACGTCCACCCGAAAAGCAAAACTGACTAATCCGGCTCAAATGAGTTCCACAAAACGGGCAAAACATCTTTCTGTCACCACAAAGTTCGCATCAGTCCTTATCACTGTTCACCAAGTCTTTCTGCCAAAACAAACAAAATGACCCCTCACTCATTCACTTCCGGGTCACTTTTGGCATTTGGTACATTCCCTTTCCGTCAAGATTCTGCCATTTTTAAATTTGTTCGCGGACTTGTAAAAGTGTTCTGCCACTTGTAAATTTGCCTCAGCTCTGGTAAAAGTGTTTCACATCTTGTAATTTTGTTTTGAACTTCCCAGCCACCGTATGAATCCCTTCCTCTCTGACATGGACTTTGTTATTCATGGCAGGAATCATTATATGAATTCAAATGACATGCACATCCTTAAACAGGAGGCGCGTTGAGTTATGATTTCCTTTCTGATACTCATTCAAATGATAATTTTGTTCTCACCGCAGGTTTCATTTACCTCCAGATTTAATAGGAATATCTCCAATGAATTCATGAGGACGTAGACTCTGGTAACATAATCTGATTGTAACGCAGTGCGGTGTGCTTTATGAAATGTTTCAGAGTCACCAGAGGGACACGGTATATATGGCTGTCATTAAATGTAGCCTACATATAAAAGGAGAGGAGAGAGAGATGAGCGTGTTCAGAGCTAAATGGAGACACGATGTGGAGCTTAAAGTTTTACACACTCAGCTCAGTGATCTTGTGGATCCTTGTCTGCTGGTTAACATATCAGCTGGTGGCATCCCGGGAATACAAACCTGATAGTTTTAAAGTTTGAAGTTTTATTATTGTGTCATACATACATTTATATGCCCAACCCACATAACACCATGAATTACAACGTTCCAGGATCAGAGTGCATCGTAGGTCTATTCATAGTCACAAAACAAAAAGCAAGACAAACCCTGATTAAACAGAATATCTATGTGCATTCTTTTCCAAGATTTTGAGACAAAATTAGCCAGCTTGATTTCATCAAATTTAAACAGCAATTCCAGTTTTTTGCACATCAGTCCAAGCCAGTATTTCAGGTTTTTGACGAGCTGCTTCATGAAACAATAATTCTCTTAAATCATCATATTTTGTACAATTCAACACATTTCTTGACTCGGTCTCGACCCCTTAAAGTCTCGGTCTTGTCCCGGTTTAGGAGCACTCTGGTCATGAGAATGTCTTTGTCTCGGTTAGTGTGGTCTTGAATACTACACTAAAAGTCAAATCAACACTCAAACATCGGTATTGGTATTGGCCCTGATTGTCACAATCGGTGAATCTCTAATTACAAATCAATCAAATATCATAAATAAAGCAAATAAGCAAAGTGCTGTAAGTTGTAACGACATCCCGTTAGAATCTTCTGATACCCTAATCCAAATATCTGAGTCATGGGAACGCAACATTCAATTAACCACAAATATATTCTCATTATACAACACCGCTGATTGATGACATTTTTCCAGCAAGCTAACAGATAAACAAGCGTAGCAAAAGTGAACAGTATCCAGTATTCCACTGAATAGCAGATGCCGTTTTGTGTTCTTCACAGGTTTATTCAGGTTTAATTTGATTTACATTA